TTCAGACTGCAAGCGAAACTCTTGTGATGACGAATTTGTGTTGGAGACCGAACTTGGCCTTCGACGAATTCAGGCTGCAAGTGAAACTCGTGCCATGCGTCCGCTTGCAGGCCCAAATGCTTGCCAGCTAAGGCTCTGTTAATGCTCATTTATGGTGAAGCGACGGGACGCCTCGCCTCTCTCACTCCACCCGATCGGTCGGTTTGGGGTCCCGAGAAAAGTGGTCGTTCATTATTAGCGCTGAGCTCGAAGCGTCGCAGGACACCGGGGCCGCTCGATTGTTTGGGAGAATAGATCTCCGCCGTTGGGTCTTCGAATATATATCCATTCTCGCCCCCCTTCAGCAGGGTTCTCGCATCTTCAAAATAATTTTAAAACGTGAACTGCTGTGAAAAAACCCTTCTCAATCCATGGCCTCTGCGTCCGACCATAGTTCTTCCGAAGACGTCAACTCCTCTACCACCGTCATCGACGTCGGTAAGCCACCGGTTTCCCCCGTGAACTCGGTTCAGGGGTCTTCCGCACCGGACCCCACGTCTCACCCCGCGTTCGAGATCCTCCAGCGGTTGGAGGATTTGGTGCGCCGGACCGCCGTCGTCGTCGGCGAGGGCGCCGGGAGATATTACGACACGCTTCCCCTCGTGGAGGTGGGTCTAAAGTGCCTCGCTCGCACGACGATGTGAGCAGGAGCTTGGTCGTGTGGAGGGGTGGATGTACCGCCTCGAGGACCTGGCGCACAACGACACTTCGGACTCGCCACCGCCCCTCTCGATGCGTTTCCTGCTCGAGCACGAAGAGCGATCGAAATGGATCCAGGCGAAGGAGGCCGAGCTCAGGCGTCTGCGCAAGTAGCACCAGGCGGTGTTGGCCCGGATAGACGCTTACCTGGACGCCGCTTTCTTCGAAGGCGCTGGGTCCCCTCGCGGCGAGGCGAAGCTGCGGGAGCTTGAGCGGGAGAATAGGGGGATCTGCCAAGCTGCCGGAGAGGTGGATAGGGTGCTTTAACTCCTTCACCAGGAGGAAGAGGATGGCGAGGCTGCTCTTGTCAAGCTGCGGCAGAAGCGAGAGGAGGAGGCGAAAGCCCAGCGTGCGGCGGATCTTGCTGCAGTCAAGGCTAAGATCGCCGGTTTCTGCCTGCTGAAGTTCCTCTGAGGCTTGCCTCTTTCTTTTGCTTTTCTTTTGCTGTAAATTGGTTGATGCCGGCTGCATCATGACTGAAAACTTATGCATGTAATTTTGGCCCGTAATGGCCTTTTGCTTTTGCTTATCTTTTGTTTCGCATGCACTGTTTCTTTTTTTTTTTGTATGCATTTGTCTTGTGTTTTGTCTTCAGGTTGAACTCGCCTGTGTTGTTTGGCGCTTAAGTCGAGCCACTCACGTCATTTCTGGCGGATCCTCGACCAACCTGTGTTGGACTTAGGTCCTTTCTCCGCTCTTGGCTGTTCGTGACATGGGGATCGGGTTAACCCTGACTCGAGTGGGGCTGAGAGGGTAATTCTTAGCCTGAGATTAGGAATAGCCGATCGTGCATACGACCAACCGATGATCCCAATCTTTGACTTGTCACTCGGCGAGCTGTCGCTCGGAGGAGCCGTCGGGCGTGACGCCTGTCGAGCCACCCTTGATACTTGTCGCCGCCTGTGAGGGCGACGACGTAGGCGATGATCGAATCGTTCAGGGATGTAGGAATACGCCGATCGATTGTTGTAGAAGCCATCACGTGTAGGCCACTACCCGTCAGTTATCCTAAGAGAACGTTAGAATATCTGGAATAGGTCAAGTAGTTCAGGGACGTAGGAGTGTGATCATTGACCCAAGTAATAACACGTTGCATGGTAAGCTATTACTTAGGCTGTGTTATTCGTTGGAATAACGGCGCCGGCCATCCGAGGTGATCATTAACCTGATGGTGTTTTGCTGCGATTGGAGAAACTATGGGGACCTACTATCCTTTTTACGAGGATTGGTAAGTTGATTTTGTCAGAGGTTTGATGTTAACGTGACAGGGATGGTCGTGATTGGAACGACTTTGAAAACCCATCATCCTTTTGAAGAGGATTAGTAGGTCGATTTTGTCGAAAGTGACCGTGGGGGTCCCGCCATCCTATTGAAGAGGATTGGCGGGGGATTGTGGCTCTGGTCCTAACTATCTGAAGGTTTGACCAAGTGGGCGCTTGATGCAGTCCACCTGAAATGCTAGTCCCGCCTGGTCTGGGCGGTTCGCCTGTACTGGGAACCTGACTCGTGAAGTGGAGCTCGCCTAAACTGTTAAGCTCGCCTGATCTGAGCGGTTCGCCTATGCTAGTAACTTGGCTCAGGAAATTTATAGTTGTTGAATGTATTCTATAGATAGTTTGATTTCTTATTTCTGAAAAATACAGATTGTTAATTGTAGTCTATCGATGACCTATGGAGTATCGATTGTTGTCTCGTAACCATCGATCATTAATGACTAAAATCAACTGTTTATATTGATTTTTGCATCATTTTGAGCCAAAAATTTTTCATACTTGTTTATTCCTAAAATATACCATCTCACTAACTTATTAGTATCAAATGAGAGCTTATTAGTATCAAGTGAGAGCTTGTTATTGATCAAACAAGAGATATTGCACGAACAATGTTCTCTCTGAACAAAGTTCTAACAGATCATGTACTGCATGCTGGATTGGGTTTGCGATCCAAGAGAACTTTCGCATATTGTGTGGAAGCCCCTCCTGAAGAGAAGGAAAAGTGAAAGTAGGAATTTATTCCAAACCACTATAAAAATCTTCGTGTTTTTCTATGGTGTATTTCTTGCTTGTTAAGTGTTTGTTTTTATTCCAAACCCCTATAAAAATCATTGGGGTTTTCTATGGTTGATTTCTTGCTTGCTACGTGTTTGTTTTTATTTCACCGGTAGTTTTGTGATATCTCAATAATTTAATGAAAAACATTCAGAAAAGCTTGCAGTCATATTAATGCCCCCTCCTGACTTGCATCTATATCCAACATATTTTTTGCACTTTTTTTCTAAAAATCGTATATATACTTGCACTTCCTATTTTAGTTTCGCAAACCAAACATGAAAAATAAAAATCTTATAGCAATAGTTACCATTGGCGATGTATTTCCTCGCAACTGAACAGCCCCTTAATTGATTTATGCTTGAACAAATTGTTGTATAAATGTCCTCTTCTCAAAGATCAGACACTTCCACCGTTGCCTCGACATTTCTTCCTTCTCAAAGGGTGAAGCCGCATAATTTTAGTGTGAGGGGTATTCTTAATAAAAGCTAAGGCCAATAAGTACTTTTTGTATCAATCTTCTCAATGAGATCTCACATTATTCATGCACTTACTCCAACTTGCATAAGCCTATGCTGATATTCTTTGTCTCTATTATATATGTTGCTGAGTGTCTGTGAACTACAGCCAAATCTTTTGGCATATTTTAGCACATGCATGCCTCAAGACTTGAAATAAACAAAAAGGTTACAATATAAAATAGGTGTCAACATTAATCAACAAGGCAACAACAATATCTTACTAGTTTTTATGCACGCGCAATGCACGTGGTTAAATATTAAAAAAATGTATTTATTTCATTACTTTAAATAAGTGAGATTTATCTTGAGTTTAAATATGTATAATTGAATTATAAGATTTATTAGTATTTTATTTAAATATTAATAAAAATAAATGTAATAGATTTTAAGCTAAACTTGGATGAAGATACATAACTGGGATATGATAATTGTTATTATGAATTGTAGTTATAGTAATAAAGAAAATATTCCAAAATTTTAAGTTTATTCAAATATTTTTGACTCAAAAAGCTAAGATCATTGTTTGATTTACTGCAAACTTGTAAATTCTTTTTCTTCTAGGAATTTTAAATTGATCACCACCACCAACACCCAATAGGAAAATTTGGTCCCTTATTCAACATGGCAACAATCTCAACAAGTAATAATTAGTAAGCCAAGGAATTTTTTTGAAAACATTGATTAATATTAAAGTTTGTGACAACCCCCAAGCAAAATCATCACAACAGTAAACATTAAACATATTTTTACGGATACAGGACAAAACAAATATGACTCAATAGTAATTCTTTGCCAATTGGTTAAAGAGGCCACCTTTATATCATAAATGGTAGACCTTTATATCATAAATGTTAGATCACATGATTTTATGTGATGTAAGTAATCACATAAGCATATAAAACTACTAATAATTTTGCATGAAAATGCCTTATAAAAATTCCTAATTGTACTCAAAAGTTAAGTTGTGATATAAAATGATTAAACAATATTGTTCTCCCTACTAATTAGTATTATCATGATCCTTCAAGTTCCACTCATCTGAACTTAAGACATATTAAGAAAATAAATATGAAAACTTCTTAGCATGATTATTAGCAGTTACTTCTGGTTGGTTTAAGCTCTGTAGTCTGATGTTTGGGGGGGGGTGAAATGTACATTCTCCAATTAAAATACTTGCCTCAAACTTGCAGGCAGAGGCAGGCTGATGAATTCCGGGAGTCATGGCGATCTTCTAATGATCATGAATGTAATTTTCATTCAAAATAATGTTTCTTAAGAGAATTTACAAATTAGTTATAACTGGAATTTACAGTATTGCACCTTTTCTAAAACTTTTATATGCATGGACTCAGACCTGCACAATTAGCTTAAGAGATTAATACTTTGCATAAATTTGCAGGCTGTTCATTTTTCATGTCTTTGAGTTTCAAATATAGATATAACTTTTATGACCTCCGTCTCGGTTTGTTCTCTTTTTTATTTTATACAGTTTGTGGACAAACTTGTGCGTCTGCCTCAAGAGTGAAGTGGTAGCATGCGGGCTTATATATGCGGCAACGTGCAGGTTTCAAATTCCTATTCTTGGTTAGTTAGTATTCAATGCTCATCGGAAAGGGATCAATGAAAATTTTAGAGTCCTCGCACATTTGCGCTCTCTTCAAAAAAGGCACAATACGTTTCAGTCTACCCAGGGCAATAATGATTCTTTCTCGTCCAGAACTAAGACACCAGACTCACAGCCTCAAGTTCCAAAGGTAAGACAAGTCTATATGCTATTATTTTTCGAGTGAAGGTGTTTGGTTTTGTCTGCTTACAAAAGCATTTGTGTTTTTTTCATTAGGATTCTACAAAGAATGCTAGGATAAAGTTCATCCTTGACAAATATCCGAAGTTGAGGAAAATGGGCGATCACTCTAAATCTGAACAAGCTGACTTGCATTCCAAAAAAGGTTATATAAGGAATTTTAATGCCTATATAAGGTATAGTAATCTAGTTTTTTATTACTATATAAGGAATTTTAATATTTTAATTGATTACAATATTTTGTTGTTTTAAATCATAGCATAATCTATTGGTCGTATGCACTATGCACTCAAACAAATAAATCTATGCAAAAACATAAAGTAATTAAAAGCATGCAAAGAAAAAGAAGAAGAAGAAGAAATAAATATAATTAAATAAATCTAAATTAAAATAATATCAAACATGAAGATTTACCTTGATATATGTGAGAACCTGCAACAATCAAATCTTTATTCCTCTAAATTCTGCATGAAAATTGAAGAATTTTGAAAAAAATATCAATTTCCAAAAAAATTAATTGCAGCGTAAAACAAATATCACCATTAAATTAAATACACAATATTTTTAAAGAATAATCATAAAAATATAAAAAAAACATACATGTTGAAGGAGATGGAGAGTTACTATGAAAATTGTGTAATTTCTTGGTTTATATATAGGCATGTGGTATTGCATGTGATAGGATAATAGTTATAATTAGAGTTTTATTAGGATTTGATCATAATTAGAATATTTAATCAATCGGGCGGATTTGTTATCGATATTCAAATGATAATAACATAGTTCTAATAATCTTCCGATAATCTGTTATGATAAAAATAGTTCTGATAGTTCCGATATATAACATAGTTTGATTTGTTATCATAGTTCTGATAGTTATGATAGTTCACGCACTGTTACTTTCATGTTTAACGAGATAATGCAGTTATTATGGGTAACAGTTATTTTCTACTACTGATTCAAATTATGCATTAAGAATAAGCAATTTCTCACGGAAATAACATATTACGGATTTAAGAACAGATAAAGAGTCCATGCGTATATGAAACACTTGATATATGGTCATTAAATTTAACACATGATAAATGTTCAAAATTCAATTATGATAAAGTTCTGTTATTATGATAATTTCACTGTTATTATGCGGATTTAATAATCTTTTATTACGGATTTAAGAACAGATTACGGATAAATGTTCTGTTATTATGATAATATCAAATTTTTTTACGGATAATTGTGTAATTACTTATTCCTATCATGAAAATAACAGATTACAGGTTTGATTTAGTTCACGAATAAGCAATTTCTCACGAAAATTGTCATTAAATTAAATTCAAAAATTAGAATTTGATTATAGATAGGATAGTTCAAACTATAAAGGGGTATATTTGTCTAAAAAAGATTTTCCGAACTCGTGCTTTTAAAGGGAATATGATTTACTATTATAGAATAATGCATCTTATACTTTTGAATATTCGGGTGCGTGAAAGAGGAACTTCCATAAATTTTATTAGTTCCATTTGACAAAAATAATACGAGCAATATTTTATTTATTTGAGAAATTTAAAATCTACGTTTATTTGTTGATATCTCACATGAGAGAGGGGTTCAGATCTTCTCCACTATTAAAAAAACGATGAAGATATCACTACTCTTTTACAACCATTAATTATCTATTTGATGATTAAGATTTTTATTGGAGTGCAAATTAGGAATGAGTACAATTCATATAGTGGTATGGTGAGTACTGTTATGCGCAGCGGAAATTTCGGCAGCACCTCCGGTGCGCAAGGTGCACAACAAGAAATTAGATCACAACGAAATTATCGTTTCTCAAAGGAAACAAGAACCAAAAGCCAGATATTTCATCAAAGTGAGATATCTGCTCTTCCTCTCATCAGTTCTAAGACTGAAATGTCAAGGGAACCTACAAGCTATCACAAATCACGACAAGAACACAAATTTTACGTGGTTCGGCAAACTGCCTACGTCCACGGGGTAAGGAGGGGGAGATCTACTATTAGAGGGAGAGAATACAACTAGGGTTTACAATCACACAATCTAAACCCTAACACAAACTCTCAGATCCCTCACACAAATACTCTCTCAAAGGAATGCACAAATCAAAGAACAACTACAAAAGGACTTTCTTTTTTTTTCTCTGTGAATAGCCGCCAAAAAAGAATCCCTGTAGCCGCAATTAAAACAAACCCCTTTGCTCAAAATTTCACGAAACCCTAGAAGGATTTTTATAAGGCTCTGATGCAACTTCGGGTGGGCCATCAAGCTTGCGGAAGCGAAACGCGGAAACGAAACCGCGTTGCTGACCTTGCGCACTTGAATCACCCACGTGGGTGACCCCCACTCACAATTCTCCACCTCGGTGAAGTTTTATTTCTTCCAAAACTGAGCCGACACCAAAGCAACCAAATGTCCCACTCATTCGACAACAAGTCAGGAACCCGAACGAGAGTCCAAACAATCTCACCCCCATCAAAATCAACTAATCCAAACCGGCTGCATCATAAGGACTGCCTACGTATCCTCTTGCTTAAGGAATCAAGCCTCACATAGTTCACCCAAATGGTCTCCAAAGGCCTTAACACCGAAGAATGTTTAAAAGCTCTAAACAATGACCAAACTTCACACCTGAAATAACTTTGGTCAACATATTTACAGGGTTGTCCTTTGTGTGGACCTTCTCCAATATGACATCTCCATCATCCAAAACGTCACGAACAAAGTAGAATCTGACATCGATGTGCTTCGTGCGCGCATGATAAACCTGGTTCTTTGCCAAATAGATAGCTGACATGCTATCACAATATACCTGAAGGGTCTCCTGTGCAATCCCCAAGTTCTCCAATAATCTCTGCAACCACAAAGCCTCCTTCACAGCTTCAGTCAACGCCATATACTCTGCCTCCGTAGTGGAGAGAGCCACTGTAGACTGAAGTGTGCATCTCTAACACACCGGTGCTCCTGTTAGTGTAAACACATATCCGCTAGTAGATCGACGCTTGTCCAGATCCCCCGCATAATCAGAATCCACGTAACCAATACAATCCTGTCTTGTCTTCTCATTCTTCTGAAATACCAAACCAACATCCACGGTACCTTTAATATATCGTAGAATCCACTTCACGACCTCCCAATGACCCTTCCCGGGGTCGTGCATGTACCTAGATACCATGCTCACGGCCTGTGACAAATCTGACATTGTACACACCATCACATACATCAAGCTACCCACAGCATTAGCATATGGAACTTTGGACATGTATTCCCGGTCCTCAACTAAAACAGGTGACATCTTAGCTGATAGCTTAAAATAGGGAGCTAATGGAGCACTCACCGTCTTGGCATTGCCATCATAACTAAATTTCTTCAGCATCTTCTACAAGTAACTCCTCTGTGTCAACTTCAACCTCCCCTTCACCCTGTCTCTCTCAATCTCCATACACAATATCTTCTTTGCTTCTCCAAGATCCTTCATCTCAAATTCGGATGACAGTTCTTTTTTCAACTTTCTAATAGCTAAAGTATTTCTGGAAGCTATGAGTATATCGTCAACATATAACACCAAATAGATATACTCACCATTCTGTAGCTTGTGCATGTAAACACACGGGTCATATGGGCTCCTCGTGTACCCTCGGCCAATCATAAAGCCGTCGAATCTCTTGTACCATTGTCGCGACGATTGCTTCAATCCGTAAAGAGACTTCTTCAGCTTGCATACTAATTCTTCCTTTCCTACAGCTTTGAACCCCATAGGTTATGTCATGTAGATCTCCTCTTCTAAATCTCCATGTAGAAAGGCTGTTTTTACATCCATCTGGACCAAATCCAAATCCAGCTGTGCCACCAATGCTAATAAAATACGAATCGATGAATGCTTCACAACAGGTGAAAATACCTCATTGTAATCAACGCCCTCTAGCTATGCATATCCCTTGGCAACCAATCTGGCTTTGAATCTAATTTCCCCAATAGAAGATCACTCTTTCTTTGCATACACCCACTTGCATCCAATAGCCTTCTTACCCTTCGGTAGCTTTGCAAGTTCCCAAGTGACGTTCTTATGAAGAGACTGCATCTCTTCCTCCATGGCTTCCCTCCACCTATTCGAATCAGAGCTTGACTCTGCTTCCATGAATGTAAAAGGAACCAAGTCATCAACGACTTCTGCTGATAAAGCATATGCAACCATGACATCGTCATATCTAGCTGGCCGACGAATGTTTTTTCTTGGTCTATTAGCTGCAATGGACTCCTGAACATGACCCTGTTCCTAAGTCCCAACATCCACTGTATCCTCTAAATGCCCAGTTGTCATCCCATCTCCTCCCAGTGTTACCTCTGTAGGAGCCTCGATGGATACAATGCTCTCTAGAGTGGGTGGAGTCACATCATCCTCTACCTGCTGCGATATCTCCTGAATCTGGTCTTCCTCCACCTGCTGAGAAACTTGAGGCTTCATCATGTACGCCTCTAATAACTATCTTCTTGTCTTGTGGATCTCATAACTTGAAGTCTTTAACTCCATCTCTAAATCTCACAAAGACTGCTTTCCTCGCTATCGGATTCAATTTACCATCACTGATATGGTAATAAGCTGGACACCCAAATATCCGAAGCGACTCATAGTCACTAGCTACTGAACCATACCAACGCTCCAACGGAGTCTTCCCCTGTATTGCAGTGCACGACAACCTATTCACGAGATGGCTTGCATAAACCAACGCTTCAGCCCAAAAAGATCTAGGCAATCCACTCTACGTCATCATACATCGCATCTTCTCTAGCAAGGTACGGTTCAATCTCTCTGTCACCCCGTTATGTTGCGGTGTCTCTAATTATGAAGTGTCGCCTAATGCCGTGATCCTAGCAAAACTACAGAAACGGATCACTCTTATACTCTCCACCGTTATCAGAACGTAGAGTCTTCACCTTTCTACTTGTCTGCAGCTCTACTTTCTTCTTCCACTCCACAAAAATATCCAGGACCTGATGTTTATACTTCATCGGATATACCCAATTCCTCCTGGAATAGTTATCAATGAAAGTGATAAAATAGTTGGCCCCACCAAATGATGTGTGATTGGAAGGGCCCCAAACATCTGTGTGAATGTAGTCTAATATACCTTGGGTATTGTGAATAGCGGTGCCGAATTTCACTTTTGTCTTCTTCCCAAGTATGCAATGTTCACACAGCTCCATCTTGCAGGTCTTTGCGCCCTTTAATAGCCC